GTTACTCCATCACCAGGAGTGTGAGTTGAAGGAGGTGAGTTAGGTGAAGGGCCCACTGTATTTCCCGTGCCAGTGCTGTTAGCTGGTCCAGAAGAAGAGTGTTGTTTCCTTTTTCTATTGCCCTACAACAAAGCAAACAGATATTGAATGTTGATTAACTTAATTAAAAAGTTAAAGAACTTATAACTGAGTTCCAAATGCAATTAGTGCTTATAAGTTATAAAAGGGAACTTTTTGAAGCGGTAATTTGCAGGTCTAAATGATAGAGATCCCAGGATAAATTGACATTAAAATCAAACCTGTGGCAGTTGCTGCTGCTGTGACAATTGATCTTGTTGTTGGGATGAAGAATGCTGCATTTGACCCATCTTCATCTGTTTAACGAACCCCCAAAATACTCAGAAACAAGGCATTTGCAAATTGATCACTATATATAAACAAGAACAGTGAGAACAGAGACATGCAATGACCACGGAGCAAAATTTTACTAAAAGAACAAGGAGAATGAGAAGTGCATAATGTGTTGCAAACATGCTTTCTCATTGATGAATCCCCAACCAAAAATTTCATAAGCAGGATTTCATGGATGCTTAATATTGGAAAGAGAATAAGCGAGAGGTTACCATGTATTAGATCAATGTACAAAATAACTTCATTGACATCCATTTAAAGAAGATGGATTTGATAATTTCACATAAGTTTTCCAGCCATGACTGGTTTTTCTTTTACTCTAACATACAGAGCTTAAGGATATTGAATCCATGTCATTATGTTAGTATTAAAAGAGAAAAATAAGATGGGGTTGGTGGTTGAAACAAATTTCCAACTATAAAAAAATAACTCCTTCATCTGTCATGATCATAAATCTCAATTCTCAAATGATTGCATTCTGGTTCAGAGAAGTTTTGAAACCTTTGGAGAACTTGACTGGACAGGAGAGCATATGGATCCATCATTTCTAGCAGATTGGCCATCTTTTGTATTCAAATTAGCCCTAGGCATTTGACCAAATCTACGAGGGTCTGTGTCCCCAAAATTGGGTGTGTTAACAAGGTTGCTTTGTGCTTGAGCCTGTGCCAAGACCTGCTGTTGTTGAGATGCCAAAAGAAATTGATTTTGTGCCTGCAGATTAGGCTTTTGCACTGGCACACCCAGACCTTGTCTTAATTGATCAATTCCCTGTATGGTTAGGCATCATCAATCCGAGGTCTTAGGTAACTTTGAATAACTAAAAATAAAATCAATGGAATACTAGGAATAGGAAAAGGCAAGTTGAACTTACAGTCAGAGGCCAACCATTTAAAGGAAGACCAGAGACACCTGGATTTAGTCCCATGCATGCCATAAATGAAAAAAGACTAAAATGAGAAACAAAAAGAGATATAAAAGGCATTAAACTTAATTACCATGAATGAAAATATGAAAGTTATGTCGAGCGTTTGGTACAGGCTTATCATTATTCAAACTAGAAGTACGAGTACAATATCTCTGAACAATCAGGACCACTTAACTTTCACTTGACACGGCTGACACACCATAACAAGGATTCCTTTGTGCTGCACATCTAGTAGTTTTTACATTTTTGTCAGTAGTTTATGGTTAAAAATTGGTTTAGTATTTTATCATCAGCCAGGCAACCACAAGCTGTAACATAAAGAATGGTGAATTAAGCTATTTAATTAATGCAGTTGAACTGCATATCAAATATCCACTCAAATTTTGGATAAAACTTCTGCCACATGCAACCAGTTGCTGAAGATCTAAAATGTACTAATACAACCTACCACCATAATCAAATACTAGCATTGATACCATTCAGAATTGCAAAATGCACAGCCTAGGAGCACCTAGGCCCTAGGTGGAGGACCTTGGTATTTCTTTTATTTTTTAGATTTTCTTATTAATTTTGGCATTTTTTGCAAATATAGAAAAACACCCAAGGGCAGTAGGCGGTGGCCCAACACCCACCATTGCCTAGTGCTTTCTGCAACATTGCCTTTATGCCAATTGATATGGGTTCCTGGTAATAATCATCCGCCAGTTTGGTTGCCATAGCCCCCTGGAAGAAAATTCCCTGAAAATGGGCTAACATGACAGCTGCCGGGCAGACTAAGGAAACTGCTTCCAGATGTTTAGTCAACTAAAGTGGCTAAACCTCCTAGATCCTCACTTTTCCCTCCTAGAAGATACCTTCCAATATCTTCTAGGGTTTTCATGCAGGAAGGTAGATTCCAAGGAAAGTGGACTAAACACCCCTTTAGTCAACTAAACACCCGGTACCCGGAAGCAAATTCCAAAATCAGCAAGGCAGCCATATTCTGGGATTCAGTTGCTGGCCTGCCCAGGCAACTAAATACAGTCTTAAGGGGATCAGTAGTCTTTTTCAAAGGGTGGATAATCAGATAGCACTCAAGAGATTATATTTTAAGATAGTAGATGCTTTAATCACATGGCAGGAGAAAAAGGATGAAATCTTTGTTTCAACTGATCTCAAATACAATTGATTTTTTTAGATCAAATCCAATTCTTTTATTTTTACCAGCACCAGTTAGTCCAGATTTTGATTGCAAAATTGCTTGTCCGTAGATTGATGAGGGATCCATAGGTAGACTTTTTTGCCCCAACTTAACCTCACCTTTGATGTCCTGCAAAAAATCATATATTGCATAGTTCAAGTATAAATGTTGTGGAATATTGAAGGAAGGAGGATGGGGAAGAAAATAAATGGAGGGAAAAAAATTCATTAAGCTGAAGTAGTTACAGTGGTCATAGGTGTTCGTGGTTGGATTTGTTGCAAAGCTGCTGACATGTTCCCTGGATTACCTTGTACCAACTGACTGAATAAACACCATTAATGTGAAAAGTGAATCTTCCCATTCAGCAAGATCATTAGATGTAAATTAGAACTTGTGCATAAAGATCAAATACTATACCCTTGATGATTGACAGGTGTTTTTAGAAGGGCCATCCTATTGGCATCAATAAGAGCAGATGATGTCTCTGAATCTACAGAATGAGGGTGTTTCATACGATCTTCATACATCTTCATGGCCAGAACACTTGCCGATGGCTGCCCTATCATTCCTTCAGAGTTCATAGCATTTATAGAACCACCAAGAGCAGGATGATTGGCATCCCTTCGTTGCAATGCATTACGGTGTTGCATCAGTTGCAATTGCTGCATTTGTACCTGTTGCTGCTGTTGCTGCTGCTGCTGCTCCCGAGCTTTGATTTGCTGTGCCTACTTTTCATAAAGTCAAAGAACATATAAGGGAAATCGAGAAAGGAAACAAGGTTGACAATAAATACATAGGATCCTAAATTAAATGAAATCTGATAAGGACATGATAGAGAAACCTCTATATAAGCTGCAGCAGCCTCTGAGTGTTTTGCATTCGTTCTTGCAATAAATATATCCCAGAAGACGGACCACCACTCGAAAAGAAAGCCTCCAGGTGCATCAATTGCTGCAGGAGTATAAGTTATATTTTAATCCAGGGCCAACTCTATATGCTATATACCCTCACTAAGTTCAAATAGCTAGGAGAGCAAGAAACATGCTTATTTAACAGACATTACAGAATAGAATGAACTATCACGTGGTAAAGGAGAGTTCTGTGAAGAAATGGCTAATAATTCAAGCTAATCTAGCAAACATTACCTACTGGATCTGTCGCAACCTTGCCTTCGGTCATAAAAGCTTTTGCCGAGGCATGCAATTTTCGTTTCAACAAATAATCATGAATATAAACATCAAGCCTGAGACATTGAAAAATGTGAAAAACATCAAAAAAGAAAAAAATTACTTCTAAGCTGGATCTAATAAAAGAGCCAATACAATACACTAGCAAATCCGAAACCAAATAAACTAATTATTACTTCTAAACGAAAACCACAAAAAACAAATTATCACAATATGTACATTTTATCTGCTTCCCAATTACTCTGAGCCATTTTGCCTGTTTCCACACTCAACCGATCACTACTCTTTATCTGCACAAAACCGCAAAATTTGTCCAAAATTCAGATCTCACAAGTTAGACAAAAAATAATGCCTAGTTCGATGAAACAAACTGGATGGATGCTGAAGAAAACATAAGTGCTTAATTACCTTCCCCTCCTTCAAAAAAATGAGAGCAGTTAAATTATGTTTAGTAAGCATGCACAAAGCTGTGTTCGATTTTACATTATATTAGGTTTAATCATGAAAAACTTCAGAAACCTTTCCATTTTCTTTTCCTTCACTTTCTCAGCAAATAAACAAACCAAAATTCAAAACCGTAAGCTCAGAATCATTACCGGCGGACTGGATCAATTCCTACAGCACCATGCTACAAGATCAACGCTCCTCCGACCTCAATTCGATCTAAATCAACATCAAAACCACTGCAATTTAGCTAGAAACATTAAGAAAAACTCAAAAATTATCAAATTCTTGAAACAGTCCATAAAAATGCACAGTGATTGTGATCTGCGACCATACATGCTCATCCCACTCGAAGTGTTCACACTCCTCTGTACTGCGTCGGCCGGAAAATTTCTGAACTCCTCGCAGAAGCCGAGAATTGTTCTTTCTTTGAGTGTAACTAAAGTAGAACTGCTGGCTACTGGAGCAGAAGAGGACTCATCGGAGTCGGAGAAAGTATGAACAGTTTAGGAAAAGACTCATTGCGACGATACTGACCTCGGGGTTCGGGATGGAATCCAGCTCTTGGAATAAATATGGTTTTGGTTCGGAGCTAGATTCGGGACGAATGGGGACCCAGCTTTTCTTGCTTTTGATGGCCGTCTGTGAACGGGTGCGGAGTCGGTCCTGGCGTGGACGATTTGTTATACGGTCGAACAAGGATAGTTGTTGCACGCGCGCGTCGCATGCGGTAAAAGCGGGATGATGTTAACGGGATAAGATACCGTCCGATGGCTAATTAGTAAATATGGCTATTTTTCAGGGTTACTTTGGCTTGGGATTTGGTGGTCTGACTTGTGGTGTTTAATTAAAATTTAATTTTGAGTGCTAGTTGGGAATGGTGGTGGTTGAATTTTCAGTTTTTGAATATATTAAAATATATAAAATATTTTTAATTAATATTTTATATATTTTTAAAATATAAAAAGACAATAAAATTAAAAATTAAAGTACTAAAAGATATTATCTAACGAAAATTTAAACTTTATGAGATATATATATATATAATGATAAAAAGACAATAAAATTAAAAATTAAAGTACTAAAAGATATTATCTAACGAAAATTTAAACTTTATGAGATATATATATATATAAATGATATAATTTTTACTATTATTTTATATTATAATTT